GCCGATGGATGTTGTGTTGGGGAGAATCATTCAGGGGGTCGATAGGGCTGGGACAAAGGCTGGACTCGACGATCTTCAAGGTCTCTTCCAGCTGATACAATTCTGTGATTCTCTACTTTAGTGGTGGGACTGACAGGGATGCTGGGTTAAGGGTTGGACTTGATGATCTTAAAGATCTTTTCCAACCCCCATGATTTAATGATTCTAAGATGCTGACCTGGTTGGCTGGTTTGACCTGCACTGCTGCCTCTGACCCATCCTGACACCTCAAACTGAAGGAAAGCAGGAGAAACCGTGTCGACTTTTCGTGCCTATTCCAGCCTGTGGAGAACAGGTGTTTCATGAATGGCTTTTTTTAGGTGCTGTGTTGATTTCCTTCACAGGTCGCTACAGTGACAGAATATGGGGCATTTATAAAAATTCCAGGCTGCAGGAAACAAGGTTTGTTTCTCTGGTTTTGTTCAGCCATAGTTTCATGTTTGTGTGTTCAAGCCAAGCAGTCATCCTCAGAATTACAGCCTTGATAACCTTTTCTGAGATTTTTCTAAAAGCTTTTTTTTCCTAAATTAGGAAGACGTTGGGGTTCTTAGAAAGTATTTATAACATGATGGAATAGTTGCATGAATGCCAAAAAGACTCAGAGGGCTTTCTGGTAACTTCAGGGTATTTTAGAAAATCATTTTAAAGCGTTGGACAAACTGTAGAAACTTTCTGCAGTTAGACAGTTTGCCCAACATAATAATTCTTTTAGGGCCAGTATAAATGGAGTTAAGGAAAAAAAACCAAAACAAACCTGAAACAAAGCTCAAAAAATAAAGCAGAAAAACTGACTTAAAGCTCCCTCTGTGTTTGTGAAGTCAAACAAACTTGAGGCTGTGACCTTGCACTTGCCAGAAATTGGGGCGGCCTCAGTGTGACGGTGTTTTCTCCTTCTCAAAGTTCATTTGGAGCGGATCTAGGTTAACTCTTACCTGTTTGATTGATGCAATGAGTTGATTTTCACCGGCAAGATGTACTGGAGAAAAGAAAGGTTAGTTTTGCTTAAGGCAACTGCTGGATTTGTGCCCTGTCTCCCAGAGCAGTCATCTCCAAAGGATTTAACTCTTCACCTTCAATCAGTTAAAATCAGTTCACCCTATCAGTTAAAAAAAAATAAATTTGTGGATTTCACCCCAATAGATGCATATTTATTTCTAAATTATATGTATGTACTACTGTACTAATGTTATGTACGTTATACAACATAGAAAGGAACGAGCTAAAGATGAAACAAACACTTTTATTTATTTTACTTATTAATGGTACAGAGGTTTTTCCTTCCTGCATCCCAAAGGATTCCTCACACGCACCCCGCTTTGGAAACTGCTGGCTTAGAGAGCAAAACTGAGATTCTTTGGAGACTTGTCTTTATTTTTTCCCATTTTTTCCCTTCCAAAACCACATCCAGGCCTTGTCCATAAGACTCACATGTCCTCGTGCCGTGTGGATAAACCCTCAGAGATCGTAGATGTTGGAGACAAAGTGTGGGTGAAGCTTATCGGAAAAGAGGTAACATTAATTCTTTTTTCTGTAGTTCTACCTAGATAAAACGTGCTGCAAAACCATTTGGCCATAAATGCTTTCCTGTTGTTTTTTTTTCCTGAAAGAAAATAACCAGGTTGCTGTGCAAAGTAAGGACTTAATTTGTCTGAGATAACGGAAATGGGCTGAGAAACTTGGTCTTCTTTACCTAGTGTGGAAGAACTATATGAAAGACTTCAGAGGCTCTTTCTAGCCATCTGTGTTGTGCTTTTATGTATATATATATATTAAATTTTGTTTGTATAAGTTTCTATTAAGCCCACATTTTCTTTATCTGGAATGCAGTTGTTGGGCTCCCGGCCCCTTTGCTGTAGAGGCAAAGAGCAGAAGCATTCTGGAGAGGTGGAGAACAGAAGAGTTCATTATTTTTTTTTAATATATATATAAAATAACTACATGGATGTCATAGATGAAATGGAAATTCCTTCAATAGCAGAAAATTGTAAGAAAGGCTTAAAAAAGACCGCAAACATACAACTTTTACTCTTGCTTCTAGTGTGGCAACCAAGGACTTAGATTCAAAAAAGAGCAAGCCCCTAAGAGAGATGCTTAAAACATTTTTGGTCTTTGAAGCGGATCGAAATAAGAAGAATATAAAGTTTTATGTTTTGGAATGCAAGTGGGCCGAGGGAACAGCGGATGATTTGAGAAAAACCTCAAAGCTTCCAAACCTGCACTTTCTTCATCTCTTGGGTCATCCTGAAAGCAGAAAGTTAATCTGAACCGACCTAGAGTTTGAGTTTGCCTTCTCCCTGAGCTGGCCGTGTAGCAGGACCTGGTTTATTAGCAAGAGTGCTCTAAACGTAGCTACAAAACGATAGAACAAAACTGCTTTCATGTCATGTCTTTTGTGGAGCTCTCCCTGTGAACCAACGTTTTCCTTCCTTCTCTCTAGGCCTCCAGACACAGGATATTTATTAACTCTGAATTTACTCTTCTCTCTCCATATCTTTCTCTTCCAGATGAAAGATGACAAGCTGAAGCTGTCGCTCTCCATGAAGGTTGTTAACCAAGGCACCGGAAAAGACCTCGATCCAAACAACGTTTCCCTTGAGTAGGTAAATCTGCTGAGTGGAAGAGAACAGATCAGACAGGTTGCTGCTGCCTGCTCTTCCCTGCCTTGTGTTCCTGCCTTTCCTGCCGTGCTTATTCTCTGGGAGCCCCACTTTTGGAGGGTGGGCTGGGGCTCAGGTGTGTGTGTTCACATATCGGTAATCATAGAATTTTCAGGGTTGGAAGGGACCTTAAAGAGCATCTAATTCCCACCCCCCTGCCATGGGCAGGGACATCCCCCACTAGATCCGGCTGCCCAGAGCCCCCTCCAGCCTGGCCTTAAACACTCCCAGGGATGGGGCTGCCACCCCCTCTCTGGGCACCCTGTGCCAGGGTCTGCCCACCCTCACGGGGAAGAATTTCCTCACGTCCCATCTGAACTGACCCATCTCTGGCTTCAATCCATTCCCTCTAGTCTTATCACTACCTGACAGGTAGCAGCAGCTCCTTGCATTTGCTTTGTGTAGAGAGTGCTTGGTTCATCTCAAAATAGGAGATAACAGGTAATGTGGTTTATTCCAAGGAGCAGTTGAGCTGTGCTCTTTGACGTAGCCCACCGAGTGATACTTATAGAGCAACACTTGAAAAAAACCATTTCTTGAGGTTGTGTCTGTATCAATGTACATGATTCAAGATGCAAATGGGTTGAAAATGGAGCTGTCCTCCTCTTTCCAGTCAGGATGAGCGGAAAAAACGCACGTTCAGAGACTACACGAGTCAGAAGATCACGCTTGAAGCTGTCCTGAACACCGTGTGCAAGAAATGCGGTTGCAAAGGTATTTTCCTGCCGCGTCGTCATGTTCTTTTGCTGTAGCCTTGTTCTAACCAGGTGGTGACCTGTAGATGGGGTTGTATTGACATCCGTCTCCTGGCTGCACGTAAGGACTGAATTTTGCTTCCACGTGTCTCTTTTAGAGCAGATCTACAAGTTTCTGTCACTTGTCATGAAAAGAAAAGCCTTAACTGAGCTCTTTTTATAAAGGTTTGTTTCTTAAAAATGCATCCCTCTGGGTTTCCTGGGAAGAACCTTCCTCCTGAAGACAGGTTTGTACAGGTTCCGTTCATGTGGTATTTGTGTTAACGTGTCTTTACAGCTGAGGACTTGTTCCAGTTTTGCATTTTAAGAAATAAACATATGCCTTCAGCGGGGCATTTCATTCTGGAGAGTGATCAGGGGAAGTGACTTTCCTGTGGGGCACCCGGTGTTAGCTCCCGAGCCGTGTCTTAGAGCTGAAAATAAGTGGTTTTTTTTTTAACCTAGTGGAACTTTTCTCGCCTAGTTCAGCAGTAGGAGGTTGGCTTGTGTGATACCTTTCCAGTAGCTTTTTGCAAGTTGCTGAGGCAGAAAAGTTGTATTTTTTTGGTACGTGGAGGTTTGCTGCACCCTCCTTGTCTTAGCCACAGAGTAAGTAGTTAAGCTTGGAGTTACGGCTGTTCTGGAGAAGATTAAAAGTAAATATGATTTTCTGTAGTGGTAGATAACTCTCTTTAAAATTATATTTTAAACTCTAAACTTTGCACTGGATTCTGTGTATTTCCAGCCTGCTTTTTAATGATGTTGTTCTACTCATAACAGGCAGGCAGGTGCTCTCTGTCTGCGGTTTCCACGACAGGTCTTAGTAGGACAACTTGATATCTCTGGAGTAGAAAAGGTAGAACCAGAACGAGCTGATTTCCTCTACGCTTGTGGCTTTGGTCTCGTTTACCAGGCACCAGTCACACCAGTTTCCTCCCTTTCCCATACACTTTTCCATGCTGTTCAAGCTGTTGCACAGACACAGTTCTACCAATTGTGCTGTTCAGACAAGTGTCCCAGTTTTTGCCTGAATAATCTTTCCAGAGTGACCTGGGTTGCATTTGCTCCCCAACCTGTTTAATCAGATTGTGTGAAACTAAGTGAAATGCTCGGGCAAAAAATGACCTGTAGCTTCTTTGACTGTGACTAATAGTAAAAAAGATGATTGGCGGCACTTCAGGTGTCTGAAGTACGGTTTTAAAAAGTAAGAATGAAAAATAAAAAAAAGAATAGCTTGCTTCTTCAAACACTCTTTTACAGGTCATTTTGCCAAGGAGTGTTTTGTGCAGCCTGGAGGTACCAAATATAGCCTCATCCCCGAAGAGGAGGAAGAGGAGGCGGCGGCAGCAGGAGGATGTGAAAGAGATAAAAAGAGCAGCGTGGCTGACAATCCTGCAAAAAAAAGGAAGAAGGTATGAGGCGCCCTGCTGCTGGCCTGGAAAAGTGAGCCAGATAATTTGTTCTGTCTAGCTCCACTAGGGGTTTACTCTAGCGGTGTGGTTACCAGTAGCCGGTTCTGGGCTGAGGAGGTGGCTCAGGTTGGTGCAGGTTCTGTAACAAAAAAAGAAATCTCTGCAGAGTTTTTAGTGAGTCTTAACTAAAGAATCATCATTTTTGCTAAACTGTATTTAAGATGGTTTTGTTCTATAACACACAGTCCTTGAAGGAGATTTTAGAGTGAGAAAAGGATTTTTATTTATTTAGTCTTTTTTAGTCTTTGTGAGGCTCTGTAGAAATTACTTCAGCTTCCTGAATTTCTGTGCTTCTTGCCCTTTTTCCCCTCCCTCCTCACTGCTCTTGCCCTAACACCTTCCTTTAATCTGGCACAAATGCCTTGCTGCAGTGGTGGGAACTGGCCTTATCTCCACGTGCCGGGGGAAAATTTGCAGAGGGAGCGTGCTCCATTGCCAGGCTCTAAAACAATTTTTGGGTGAAAATGTCAAGAGCTAAGAGACCTTTTATGTCCAGTAGTTGAACTCTGGCTTCAGAGCGTGCTGCTGTGAAACGCAGAGGAGAGCTGGATCCGCGACAGGAGCATTCAGTGCTCGCTCTGGTTATACAGCAGTGAGGCTTCCAGTTCCAGACTTGAGTAAATAAACCGTTTCATCAGCCCTTTCACAACCGGCATCCAGCTTTAATTAACCCTTCCATTTATTTGTATTGCTTCCACTTTTTTCTTCTTTTTTTTCCTTCCTCTTTCCAGCCCTGTGACCCGTCTATATCCCTGGAGGGGGGCAACAGGCCGGAAAGGTGCTGATTTCCTTTGCACAGGAGAGGGACAAGGCCGGTGTTAGCAATTGCATTGTGAGAACTAGGAGGGCTTGCTCTCCCAGGCTCCCTGTGGAGTTAAACTAGTGCTGGTGTTAAAGGAGAGGCTGCAGGTGCTGGGAACTGGGGAGTGGAAGAGTTTGTTTTGATGGTGACACTCAAACCAGTCCAGAGTGACTGACACTGGTGGCTGAAGTCACATTTTTCACTGGTGTTGTGGCATTTAGCTCTCATTTGAGAGAGGAGTAGCTGGGGCTCTTTGTGGGATTCTGCATGGTGACTGTGCTAGAGAAGAGCCAGGTGTGTAGTGACTTCCCTTCTGTCACTCCCTGCCCTGTGGCATCCCTGTTGCTGCCCTACAGTCAGTACAAAATGAAGTCAGTGTTAATTTGGTGCCTAATTAGCAGTTCCTTGTTGCTCAGTAATGCTCTGGACCCAGTAGAGGGGACAGGATCTCCAGACTGTAGATCCTATCGCCTGGTTGCATCCCAAGATGTGCTTCGCTTCCCTGCTACGTAGGCTCTTGTTCAAGACGGCCGAGTGTGTTTTTGCTGGGATAGAAAATGCACACGGTCGTTCTGTTCCCACCTCAGAAGCGCGCGACTGCGCCCAGTCATTCCTTGGCTCCGAGGCTAACGGGGACTCTGACCTTTGCGGACTCCACATGTCGTCAGTAATCCCTCGCCTTGTCCTGCCTTGAGGTCCCTTCCCTCTAGCAGGGAGGATGGTTTGTCTGGGAAAAGCTCGTGCAGCTGTGATTTAAATGTTAGGGGGGAAGAATCACCCTAAGAGGTGCTCAGATAGCTCGTGGTATCGATTCCCGCCCACCAGCGTGGGGGTTGCTCTGCTGAGGCTACAGGATGTGTGGGTTGCTGCCCTGAGTTTGTTACTAGTTTTGAGGGGTTCTTTGGATTAACGGCCTTCCTTTAAGTCATGCTTGTTCCTTTGATCTTCCTCCCTTCTCAAGGAGGAGATCAAAAGTTTTCAGATGTTTTCCAGTGCTGGAAAAATCAAACTTTGAGCTGTTTGGAAGCAGGATGTGAAATCCTCGAAATGAATAGCTCCCTTGTTGTCTGAAGTGCCTGCTGTGATCTCATCTGGGAGCCACCATATGCTTCCCTGCTTGCCTGGAGCCCCGGGGGGATTTACACAAAGGAGAAATAGCTCAATCTACCTCGTAACAATTGCCTTGCTGACCCTGTCTCATCCAATGCTTGTAACATAAATGTGGGGTTGTATTTTTAAATGAGTGGACAAGAGAACTGCTGTCTACAAGCATCTAGTTAGGGTTGTAGTAATAGAATTAACATTTTTGATTGTTCATGATCAGCATTTTCTGTTTCTTTAATCTTGATGCTTCCTTGCAGTTTTCTGGATGCTCTTTCCTCTGTGCAGAGGTTCCTCTCCTTCCCGAGACTCTCTGGGCTCCTCAGCCCCTTCTAGTGCTTTTCATGTTCGCTGTCCTGCCTCTCAGGATCCCGGAAAAAAATAAGTGACTGGAGGGGGAAGCGGAGGTGCCGGTGTCACAGAAGTGCTGGGGGGCATCCGAGGAGTCGCTGGCAGCTGCGTGGGCACGGGCCGTGGCCCTTCCACTTTTCCTCTTGGGGTCGCAGGGTGAAGGAAGCTCCTACGGGAACGCGGCTGCGGGCCTGGGCTGAGCCGGCGTGGGTGGGAGGCGTGCTGAGAAGAAACGAACCCTTCTGATTCTTTTCCTCTGAGAAAAAAATCTGCAGTTTCAGCACTAGAAGCAACCTCTCTAACTGCCAGAAGGCATCCCACCTTCTGCTTGGATACGTTGATTAATTTATCCCTGGGGTAGTTTTGCCATGGTCATTGGAATTCCATAGTAAATGTGACCTGTGATGGCTTTTTGGCAAACTTAGTTGCTCTTTATCCCCCCACATAAAAGATTTCCAGGCAATCTTCTTGCAGATGTTGTCTCTTCGTGTAAAAACCACACCTTAATTGTTTGTTCAGTGACCTGGAGTTGATCAAGCCTTAATCCATTCTCACTTGTGGCTGGTACTTGTTTTACTAGTTCTTAAGTGGCATTAGCTTAGGGCACAGCACTTCACGCACCAGGCTGTTACCTTACTCCTTATCTGTGCTTTTCTGAACTTGGCTGTATTTTTTAGTGGCCATAGACTGGATTCCTCTCATCAGATTCATTCTGGCTGGCCCTCAAACAAGGGGGGCACTAATACCTTTAGATTTACGTAATGAATCTTGTTTGGAATTAAACCGGGTGGTGGAATTTTGCTTTTTTAATTATTTTCTTCAAGAATAAAAAAAAAGCAAACCCAACTCTAGAAGGGTTACTGGCACCTCTCTGGAGATGCAGAAAGACAGGTATCTGGAAATCCAGTCTGATTTTTCACAGGGACCAAAGTCAAGTCTCCAAACGAGACTGAAACTCCACAAAAGAGTCTGGGTGAAAAATATGAAACTTCTTGGAGAGTTCTGGACACTCCCCTCTTATCTCCAAATCAAATTCAGGAATGAACTGGTGTAACGTTCTTAAAGCGGAGCCTGGAGCACCTTTCCTTGCAAAGGGCAGGAGGGAGCCTGTGTGTGCCGAGGCTGTCCCCTCGCAGTGCCAGCTCTCAGAAGTAACTGGAGCAGTAGGACAGGGCTCCAGCCCAGCCTTTTGCTCTCCTGCAGGCCAGCTCCCGACATGGGTTTCGCAGAGGAGAGATTTTTGAAGCATGTTCCATTTTGGCAGAATTGTGCTTCTTACACAAATGGGATGGGACATGCGGGTCTTTACACGGAGACTCTGCTTGGGTACAACCTACCGGAAATGTTCACCCAACCGCGGTGTTTGGGGTTCTGGGCTGTGCCCCCGCGCCCAGCTGAGCTTCCTCCATCAGCAGCCGTTGGTTCTGGAGACCTGTTTGCGGCTCAGGGCGCGGTTTAGCCGCTCTTGCTGGAGGCAGAAATCTGGCCTTTGCTTTGGCTCTGCCCTTCCCATCCGCAAACCAGAGAAATGCTCCCGCTTGCACAAGGGTGAGTGGACCGGTAACCAGCAGGGTGCTGGTCTCTCAGTACTGGGATGCTGGAGTTGAAAGAAATCTGTAGCTGAACAGAAGGATGCTGCTCGTACGGATGGTTTCACAGCAGGGCTGCCTCCTGCTACAAAAAATGTTCAGCTCTTCTGTCACTGGCTTTGCTCCCTGCAGGATTTGCAACCCAGCTTCTGTGCTGTGATGCTTGTGTCACTGCACTGAAAGCTCTTGCTCTGTGTTGATGTGAGCAGTTTGGCTGTTAGAAGCCCCCAAAAAGGTGGTTTTGTTGTTGTTTGTGGTGGTTTTTTTGGTTTTTTCTTTTCTTTTTTTTTTTTTCAGCCAGCACAATGCCCATGTGTGTACTTTTATTCCCCTGTACTACCAAAGGAACGTGTGCGACATCCTGTCCTGTCTTCAGCCTCCACAGGCTGAGAAAGTTTCCCAAGCTCTGGAATGAAACTCTGTGAATTGTTAAGGTCTTATCTGACTTTCTCACCATGTGCACAGGCTGGAAAAGCTTGAGAAAAATTCTCCTTGCTGCATCCCTTTCTCTAGAAGATTTAACTCTTTACCATCCTCTTCTAAAGACTGTTCCAATTTGCTTCTGCCCTTTGTCCATGGGTGGGAAACGTTGTCGTGAGTCTTGTATTGTCCCGCAGAAAAATGTGATGCTCAAATTTTGGGTGACATCAGTGATCCTGGTGCTGTTGTAGCACTAGAGACCACTGATCCCTGCCACGGCTCTGCTAGGCGTGGAGTGAATTCACCTCTGCTTGCTTCCCTGCAGCCCTAGAGGACTCTCTGCTTGATGTTCAGCTCCAAGCCACGCGTTGTATTTGCTCTTCCACCTCCCTAAAAGGGTTGTTCTGTTTCATGTCGTTGTCCCTAATTAATAGCCTGTGTCTGGTGCTGCGACACCCAGTCCATGCTAAATCGATGGCTTTAGCTGGGCCCTTTGTGTCCCTGCTCTTAGGTTGTTTTGAAATTAAATGTAGACAGACTTGCTCTTCTTCCAGTAAGCCAGTATATCCATCTTCCTCTGGAAACTGCTTGTCTGGAAGTGGCTGAAGCTAATGGAGGAAATGTCTCGTGGGGAGGAGAGTGGAACTCTGCCTTCCCCGTGCTCTCCGCGTCTCTGGGAGACTTGTTTGTCCTCAAGCAAGTTTTCAGACAGTTTAGCCCTTCAGGAGCAGGTTGTGCGGAGCGCTGGAGGGCTGTCAGCGAGCCCATGCCCTTGCTGTCACCACAGACCTGACTGCGACACGGGCTTGGCTTTAACACGCTCACCTGCATGGGGACCCACCTGAGCACCTCCACACCTACAGCGGGCAATGCCGAGTTACTGCAGAGGAATTTCTCCTCCCCATTCTTTGCCTCTTTTTTCATGCTGTGCTTAGCAACTGCTTCTGGCTTTTCTTTGCAGCAGATTAGTGCAGGTTTCTTGGCTTGGGGTCCTCTGGGTGAACTCGCACCTGCTGCCGAGTCTTGGGTTCCGAGTTTTCCCCCTGTGGTTGCTCTCCAGTCCATCTGCAGCCAGGGCGGTTCTTTTTCCCCCAGGTGGGGTGGGTGCATAAACAGCCCTGAGGCAGCACCTGAGGGAGGAGGGAGTATCTCATGCCAGACCCACCGAACCGGTGTCAGGGACGGATTCAGACCTTTCCCCGCCGTGGCCAGCCCTGCGCTGCACCTGGTTGTGTTGGAGCAGATGGAAATACTTGTCCGCACCAAGCATTCTGATTTTGTACGGGTGTCATAGAACGTGTTGGGCTGGAAGGGACCTTTAAAGGTCACCTAGTGCAAGCTCCCTGCAGTGAGCAAGGGCTTGAATTGTCTCCAGGGCTGGGGCCTCCACCACCCCTCTGGGCAACCTGTGCCAGTGTTTCACCAACCTCATAGTAAAGAATTGCTCCCTAATGTCTAATCTAGATCTGCCCTGCTCTAGCTTATAAGCAATACCCCTCATCCTGTTGCTACATGCCCTTGCAAGCAGTCCCTCCCCAACTTTCTTGTAGCCCCTTCAGATACTGGGAGGCCACTAGAAGGTCTCCCCGGTGCCTTCTCTCCAGGCTGAACAGCCCCAGCTCTCTCAGCCTGTCCTAGGAGAGCTGCTCCAGCCCTCTGAGCATCTTTGTGGCCTCCTGGACCTGCTCCAACAGGCCCATGTCCTTCTTGTGTTGGGGCTCCACAGCTGGATGCAGCACTCCAGGTGGGGTCTCACCAGAGGGATCACCTCGTGCCCTGCTGGCCACACCGCTCTGGGTGCAGCCCAGGATGTGACCGGCCTGCTGGGCTGAGAGCACACGCTGGATCTCCTGTACCTGTGGCTGGTTGCTGCTCTTCCCTTCGTGTAACCACGTGTTCCTCTTTCCTCCCTTGGCTTAACGTCTGTGCTGGCTGTGGATGCCTGAGGAGGGCGGCCTCGCTGAGGACTCGTCCCGCCGGTAGCCCCATGCCCAGCCCAGCCATGCCCTTGGCCCCGACGTTCCCCTCTGCCTCCTCACGAGGGGAGTGCGTGGCACTGAGAGCCTGGCCCAGGCAGGGGTGACTTAGAGCAAACCTCTCCCTCTAAAACTCTCTGCGAGCCCAAAGGTGGCCTTGAGGTCATTGGGGACAGACTTGGCAGAGAAAATAAGCAGAGCTCTTGGCCCTGGGGGCAGGCTCCAGACTTCTCCCATTACATTCCCTTCCGTAGTGGAATGTGAAACACGTTTGTGTTATGTTTGGGACAGTCAAGTGACCGCTGTCATCTCCCATTGTGCTGGCTCCAAACGAGCCGTTACTCACCCTCTTTCAGTTAGAGGAGGTGGTGGTGCGGGAGGGCAGCTTTTTGCCTGGCTGACCAAGGCTCCTTTTCCTCGTCTGGTGAAGCACATGCCCTGTGCTTCTCCCACCTGTCGGCACAGGCTCAGCATCCTCAGTCCCACCGCTAACAGAGCTCAGCCCTCCCAGGTGGGTGGGCAGCATGGGAGACAGTGCCCCGGTGCCTTTGTCTGCTTCCAGAGCTTGCTCTGACCCCAGCTGTGATGCTGCTGTGCCGTCACAGCCTCCAGGGGTGATTTTACAAACCCAATATGTCACCAGTCTACGGGAGATGCAACTGGTAGAGATGAAGTAGGTGGGGGGGAAAGGAGCTGGGATGTGCTGGGGAATAAAACCTCACCTGATGCTGCTCACAGCAGCGCGTGCACCGCCGGCACCCGGCTGCGGAGATAAATTCTGGAAGAGAACAGGATGCTGGTTTGCAGGAAGGTTGGACCCAGTCTTACGGATGCCCCAGTCCCAAAGTGGTGAACACACGTGGGGCGCCCGGGAAGGTGCAGCTCTTGCTTTAAGCACAAGTGCTGCTGTGTGGCTGAGGCGAAGCAGCGAGCAGTTTTGCTCATTTCCTCGCTGAGCTGCCTCAGCCGCTCACAGGCAGTCACATGGGTTTGGGTTGCTTTGCTGGCCCAGCTCTGCTGCATGAAACCCTCTTTTGCTTTTTTTACTATGTCCTCTGTGCCCTCAAATGGAATGAATGTTCCTAGAGGGAAGGTCTCTCTTTGATGTTGGTGTGCCCGTGGATGAAATCAGTGAATCCTTCTCAGAGGGTGGTGTCTCTGGGCTTGAAGTTCTTTATATTAAACATGTGCAAAATAGTAAAATTACCTTTTTTTTATGGGTCCTCTCACCTGGTGTTTGGAGGGCACGGCTAGCTCCTGGGAGCCATGGTGAGCTCATCCTCGCTGGAAGGGGCTGCAGCAACGGGCAGAGCTGGGCGAGCAGGGGCTGCGTGTGCTGCCAGTGCAGGCCAAGCAGATCCTCTCCTCAGTACCCTTCTCTAATTAAATACGTACAAATCGCTGTGCTGCGTCATTAAATAGTCTTTATCTGCTTTGGGATGCTCTGCCCAATGCGATGCCGGCAGAAGGTGTGCCGCCATCCTGATCTCAGAATCATCATCTCTGCTCCGTAGTGAGTCAGATGCCTCAAAATTGAGGGTATAGATCCATTTCAAAGTTCCTGATGAGCTTTATTCCAGCACCAGCTGTTCTTATTCTGCATCTAAATGTCAGGTCTCGAGCTCAGGGACTGTCTGTCTGCGGAGGGGGGAGGTTGGGAAGCTGGTGGGGAGTGTGCGAACTGCTCCGGCAATTGTGCAAAGAGTTGCTGCTTGCAAAAGGGCCCTTTCCTCATTTCCCCGACCTGCCCCCGCAGGGCGGGCTCCCAGAAGCTCTGACTCGAGCTTGAGCTTTCTTGCAAGGCAGAAGGCACGCGGTCGTGAGCGCATCAGCCCTCGTGTCCGTGAGCCGATGGCAGGGTGGGGACACGGGGACCGGTTTAGAAACCCGTTCTGTTGGCCAGAAGGGCTTCCTCCCACCAACCTCTGTTAATAAAAGACTCACCTTCAGTAACAGAGTTCTGACCGTGGAGGGATGGTGAGGCCTCTCCTGATCTGACTAACTGTTTTCAGGCTTGGATTTTGATACCCCCTGCCACTGCTCTGATGCCTGCCCGGTGCAGCTGGGGGTTAAATCCTGACTGACTGGGGCAGAAGCTGCGTGTGCTTTCCGTGTGGGCACATTTTGATTTGTTTTCTTCCCTTCATTAGGAGAAGAAGAAGAGGAAGAAGCACAAGGATAAGCAGTCCTCTGAGTCGGACTCGGACAGCTCGGACTCGGACAGCGATGGGGCTCAGCCAGCCAGCAAGAGGACCAAGCACTCGGGGAAGCCCAGCAAGGCTCAGAAGAAGAAGAAGAAAAAGAAGCATAAGAAGAAGCCGCGGGACTAAGCGGGCAGATGGGCGAGGCTACCACGAGGAGTGAGCAGGATTGACTTGGCGTGCCCCTCACTGCTGGGACAAAAGGAGTTTCCTTCGAAGAGTAACGCTCGCCATGTTGTGCTACAGGTCTTGACTTTGGTACAAGCTGCCCCATTACCTGAGGTGTGGAGCTGAGCTGCTGTTTTTCTTCCGCCACGAGGCGCTTCTGCCAACACTGGCTAATTACACCCCTTCCTCAGCACCTTTTTCATCCTCGTTTCGCTGGGGGAGCTGCCAGCTCCACCGAGCCTGCCTGACACCGGCCCCTGTCCATCCCGGTGCCTGCAAAAAGGTTTTGCTGCGCAGCTGAGCTCTGCCTGCTGGGGAACAGGTTTTGCGGGCCCCCCCCCCCCAGCCGGTCATGGCGTGGGGCTGCTTGGCTTCTGTCTGCAAACCTTTCCCCAGCCTCAGCTGTTTTATCTGCAGATATTGGGAATGGAAGAGTGAGAAGGAAATGGGGGGGGGGTGGAGATATTTTGAGTAAACGTGAAGTGTGGTGTGTTTGCCGCCTTGGTAAGTGATGGAAAATAAAGCTTTTCCAGTTGTACTTTGGAGGGGTCCTGTACATTCTGTGCTTCATGTTGGGCAGTGAAAAAGTAGGGGGGTGGCTCTGTGGGACGGGGTGAGACCTGCATTAAGAGGTTTTGAAAGTCCTGGTTGCTTCCCTGGGGCGGGAAGGGGGTGTGTGACAAGGTGACCACTGGGAGAAGCCTGGTGCCTGCTCATGAGGAGCAACTGGGGCATAAATCTTGTAACTGGAGCTGAAGGTCAAGGGGTTAGGGACGGCAGAGGGCTGGGCTGTCCCGCGCCCGGTCTGAGGTTGCTCCTGGCTGAGGTGACCGTGGAGGAAATCTGCCGAGAGCATCTTGTCCCTGCCGGGGCAGATGTGCCCAGCAAGGGCGAGTTGCGTCCCTCCCGGTGCCTCTGGCTCCACAGCGAAGCGAGAGCGGGGCTGGTCCCTTGGCGTCAGCAGGAGGAGGACTTGGGGCTGTTGGAGGCTGCCCCTTCTCCCTGCACTTCTCACGCCAGATTCCCACAGCTAAGTCCCACCTTTTGGGGCCAGTTCCCTTCCCAAACCCAGCCACGAAGGGCTCACCCCGGGGTGTCCATCAGCTGATGCTTTGGCTGAGCTCGTGCCGGTGGTGGAGCGATGGCGCTGGCTGGGATGGAGCGTGCCTGGATCCTGGGCGAGTGGTGGCAGAGATGTAATAATATTCCCCTTGGAAAAGCATGTTTCAAGCCATGACCTCTCTCTTATTTCCACAGCTCGGAGAACCCGCTGAGACAGGCTACAGGGATCAGTTAACCCCGTCGCTGCCAGTGTGTCTGGACTGGATTTGCCCACCACACTCCTGCCCCTAGCCTGGCTGAGACCCACGTGGCTTCACGCTACAGGCAAGCATGTGCCCAGAAAAGGTTTTTTCCAAGCAAGCTGATCACAGAGCTGTAACAACACGGCCTTTATTATTTTTCCATGTGGGTTCTCCCATTATTAATAAAAAAAAAAAAAAAGAAACCAAACCATGAAACCACCACCAAGGCCGTTTGTAGCCCCACGAGGCGATGGGGCCGGAGGCAGCGGGTC